GCATACATTACTATTATATTGTAATCAAAATGGATATTTTTTTAATGCTTCCATCGACACTGTTTCGGCGAACTTCTGTTGACTAAATACCTCGATTAGAGATGTTACTAGAGAGTAACACAAAGAAAAGAGGGAGGACGATACAGGTTTGAAAGTAAAGCAGGAGGAGAGATAAAGACAATAATAAATATTTGAAAGGAAAGAAAGAGAGGAGATACGGGTGATAGATGTTTGATAGGGAAGTGGGAGCAAAACCACACCAGAGCACCCGCCAACTACTTACTTTTATTTTAACTTTTTCACCCTCTGTTGCCGTGAAGCGTCGAGGGGAGATGCAGTTCTCTATGGTAAGCCAGCTCCGCAGCTCTTTCAGTTGTGATGTTATTTTTTCTTAGGGTTTCCTTGACACCCTCGATCCACCTTTTGCGTGGCCTTCCTCTTCCTTTATACCCTGAGTGCTGGGTGTTGTAGGCTCTCGAGGCTGGTTGGCCAGGTGACATACGTAACAGGTGGCCAAACCATTTTGTTCTGTCTTTCTATGTAATGGAGGCAGGACTCAATGCCTTCTTACTTTTTCATTTCTCTGCCTGTCTCGTCTTGTGAGGTTAAGAGTTTTGCGGAGACATTTCATTTCGCATTACCCGCCAACCACCCACTTAATTTACAAAGCTTCCACGATCATGAGCAAGCTCTCAAACGAGGCTTAGATCCAGGAATCGCGACATCAAGACTAAATAGGTCAAGGTTTGCTGTAGAAGTAGAAGGACATTCTTGTTGGAATAACTCCGTTTTCATCCGACTGTTAGATGTGATGGGTGGTTAGAGGGGGCCGCTGGTAGGTCCTACTTTTTTACTTCCCCTCTGTTGTTTCTGTCTATCTGTCTTTTATTTTGTAGGGTTTTACGGCGCTTGCAACTGCATAAGGTCATATGAGTGCCAAGGGTTTTACAATTCTATTGTGCATAAGAACATGTTAATATCCTTTGTCGCTCTCTTAACTCAAAACTCAAACCAAACGAAACAATTTCCACTCAGAATAATGTATGTAGCACACCCAAACATAATTAATTGAAGATCCCAGTTTCTGACTGTAGAATAATAACATTTTGAAACCACAATTGGTAAAAAAACAACAACCAACGAACATTCAAAACCTCCGTGTCAAGTTCAAAGAAGATGAAAAATGTAATATCTAAACCCCCGTCACTTCTATCAAAGTTCTGTTGCTTACTTTCCATTCCTTTGTCTTTTCTTGTGTCTCCTTAGATGTGGATGGGAGATGTCAGGGGCTGAGTGGGTGGCTTCCCCTGTTGCTATGTTATCTTTTGGAGCACCCCTATAACTGGCGCTCATAAAGTGACCTTTAACTTTAACGCTATTCGGCCAAGTTTTACGTGGTCTTCCCCTGCCCTTGTATCCTGACTCTTTTGAGTTGTATGCACGTGCCTCGTTATTTAAAGCATTACAATAATGTATACAATAATGGTGTCTGTCTCTTACTTCTTAATTGACCCGACCTTTCTTCAACCACAAGGGTTTTAGACACACCGTCACTGTATTGTGAAAGGGTTATATACACACCGTCACTGCACTGTGAAAGGGTTATATACACACCGTCACTGCATTGTGAAAGGGTTTTAGACACACCGTCACTGTATTGTGAAAGGGTTATATACACACCGTCACTGCACTGTGAAAGGGTTATATACACACCGTCACTGCATTGTGAAAGGGTTTTAGACACACCGTCACTGTATTGTGAAAGGGTTATATACA